CGGACGCTTAACCGACTGCGCCACCCAGGCGCCCCTCAAAATGTGTCTTTAGAGAGACCTTTGGGATTTTAATAGGTGACTCAGAGATTTGCCCCTTCTCCCTTCATTTCCAGGTGAAATAGCTAAGTCTCAAATACATTTTGCATGACTTACCCACGACACTAATACAGCAGAATCAAAGGCACCACAGTTACATGTAACTGACAGCAATCAGCATATGGTATTTTTCTGCAACCGATTTTTAGAATGACCCCTAGGCGGAATCTTGAAATTTTAACAAAGATGACACCAATCGAGGGTACCCAATTCCATCCCCTTGCAAATGTCTTCCTGACGCTAACTTAGGGTGGCATCACCGCCATCGTTACTCCTCCAGTGCTCTCAAGGATGAAATCCCTTATCGCCCGGCCCTTCTCTGCACACCCCCTCAGCATTTCCCAAACTCCCAGCCAGAATGGTGAAGCCTCTGAAAGAGTCAAGCAAGTTATCCCTGGGCTTCCTTGCCCTCAGCCCCACCCCATCAGAAGTCCGAGATAAGTCTGCCTTTCAGAGCTCCTGCATCAGGCACTGACACCCCCAGACCCTTACCGCTCTTGCTGCTGTCTCCCAGCAGACTCGCATTCTCAGCGTCGGAGGGTCAGAAAAATGTCCTGGGACCTCCAGCCGATGCCTACTCATCAAGAGTTACTTTGGGATTCCAGGCACGTTCTCCCCACACCCCCCACTTCCACCCCTGTGTTTTATTTCTTCTTCACATCCCAGGATCTGCTCTCCCGGGTCTCTTTCTTAGCTGCCACTTCTCATCCTTTACTCTAAAATCTCTGTGCCAGCTGACTGGAGGACAGGGTCCATCTCTGGTTCCTCCCCACACCTCTGTGGTGCGACTTCACTGCTCCTCACGCATCGTGAATGGTCTGTTCATTCTTCCCAGATGAACCAACCAATTCGGCCTCATTGACTAATCCTTATTGTTGTGGACTAAATGTTTGTTTCCCCCTCCCCCCAAAAAATTCGTATGTTGAAGCCCTAACCCCCAATGTGGTGGTGAGGCTTCTGGGAAGTCATTGGGTTTAGATGAGATCATGAGGGCAGAGCCCCGGCAAGGGGATTAGTGTCCTTCCAAGAAAAGGAAGAGACGCCAGAGCTCTCTCGCTCTCCAATCACATACAAAGAGGTCACTTGAGCACATGATGCCATGGCAGCAGTTTGCAAGCCAGAAAGAGGCTCCTCACCCAAAACTGAACCTGCCAGCACCTTTATCTTGCATTGTGTTATAGCAGCCCGAGCTGAGTAAGAAACTTATTTTGCCAAGAACTATGATAGGCACCTTCACATCCGGGGCCCTGTTTGTGTCCTCACTTGCCCAGGTCGGGCGACTCTCATCATCTCCCAACTTGTAAACAAGGGTGCCAAGGCTCAGAGAAGATAAGTGATCACTCAGAAGACACACAGAAGCCTGGGGTAGAGTTGGATGGCAAGTTAAAGCCCCAGATTTTGTAGGGAGAAACTAAAATATGCTGGTTGATTTATTAAGCTCAAAGAATGTTAGAGGGAGAGGACCCTTCCCCTATTTGCCAGCACAACCCCATAGTATATGTATGAAGAAACCAAGGACCAGAAAGGAACTTGACTCTTGGAAGTTCCTTGCAGAGCACAGAAGTTGTATCTGTGTGTGTGTGTGTGTGTGTGTGTGTGTGTGTGTGTGTGTGTGACAGAGAGAGAGACAGAGAGAGAGAGACTTCAGGCCCCCTGCTCCTCTACCCCACACTCCCCTTAACTATACAATAACATCAGGGATTACAAGAGAAACATCAAGTAGAAAGCTGCTAAAGATAAAACATGCATGGGGATTAAGGGAGATAATTTCAGCTTTCACAGGGGAATCACATTATACCAAAATGGAACAAAATCCCCGCTGCCTATCGACCTCACATGTCCTAGCTATACTGATGGGCCCTTGGGAGAAAGCAAGAGGAATGAGAACAAAGAAGATATAAATAAAAGAGGGAATTACAGTGCCGAGGGAAGAGGGATATGAAAAAAGAAGAGGAGGCTCAAGAAGGGACACAGGCAGTTTTGCTTCCCCTCTGCCCCCATCAGACACTCCCACAGTAGGGGCTTCGCTAGGAGAGGCTTCGCTGGCTGGTGGGAGACAGAGGTGGGGTGACTTCCACACCCAGAGTGTGGTTTCCCAAGGAGCACCACTGGCATCACCTGGAAGCTTGCTAGAAATGCTGGATCTTGGGGTGCCTGGGTGGCGCAGTCGGTTAAGCGTCCGACTTCAGCCAGGTCACGATCTCGCGGTCCGTGAGTTCGAGCCCCGCGTCGGGCTCTGGGCTGATGGCTCGGAGCCTGGAGCCTGTTTCCGATTCTGTGTCTCCCTCTCTCTCTGCCCCTCCCCCGTTCATGCTCTGTCTCTCTCTGTCCCAAAAATAAATAAACGTTGAAAAAAAAAATTAAAAAAAAAAAAAAAGAAATGCTGGATCTTGGAACCCCACTCCAGAAGACTGAATCCGAGGGTACATTTAAACAAGACCCCCGGGTGATAGACATACACCATAAAGTTTGAGAAGTACTTGCCAGGATGCCCTGCTTGCAGAGAAAACATGGTGTTTTTATTAAGACCGTATGTTTGGGACGGTTTAAGGGGGGTGGTGAATATTTAGAGGGGTGAGGAGGAGAACTAATGCTCCCCACGTTGGCCTTTGGTGGCGTCATGGTGCCTTCCAGGATAACAAACACTTGGGAGGGACTGGGAATACCTAGGGGGAACCAGGTGACGGACTGAAATTCATGCTGATGACAGAGGGCTTGGGGTGCCAGGGGGCAGAGTGAGAAGGAATATGGTCTGGGATTTTTTTTTTTTCCCTACACGGCTTCTTTCAAAACAATTCTTGCCAGCAAATCTGGTTCTCTTAAAATGACAGCTATCCATGGCCAAGTTAGTGACAGCCTTCCCCCCATCCATGAGGACACATACCCCACTCTAAAACGCAGGAACATGCTACCCATGACTCCATTCCTGTCCCTGACACCTCCCCTCCCAACTGGGGACCTTCTGTGGAAGCTCACCTCAAGACAGGGCTGTGGGCAGATGTCCTCGTAGCTTCTGAACCCCTCCTGGAAAGGAAGGGCCCACAGGAAAGCCCCCCGCAGGACCTCTGTTCATGGAGTCTAAAATGCCCTCCCCAAGGAGAGGTGGGAAACTAGGCAACAGCAGCAGATTGGGGTGACACAACGGAACCAGCCAACACAAACAGAAGTGGCCTTGAGAAGAAGGAGCGCTAAGGGCCAGCCAGACATGGGAGCACCTGAGGCCAGGAGCACTCTGTGCCCAGAGGTTGCCACTCTGGGACAGACTGCAAGGTGCAGTGGGCCACTGAGGTACATGTCCCAGGTGCCAAAAGTCGGAGCGGCCGAGCCCTGAGAAACAAGAGTCATTTCCCAAGGAAGCCCGCTTTTCCTGAGGAAGCCACCCATTGCCGTCTAGGCTGCGTGATCACTCCTAGCAAAGCATCAAAACCAGAGTGGCTGCTTATCAGAAAGCAAACAAATACGAACTTCCTGGGGCAGAAGGAAACCAGCTGGGGCTGTGCTGACAAAATGGCTTTGAAGGCAGGCAGAGCAGCTTCCACCCAGAGATTACTGCTTGGCCTCAGACAACTCAGTCTGCTGGGCTGAGCCTGGGCTTCCTCGGCTGTCAAACAAGGGTTAATAGCATCTACCCCAGGGCTGTGGTGGTACCTCGGGAGGGGAACATGTGTACCCAACACAGGCCCAGACCCACAAGAGGGACCCAAGAACATCAGTTTAATCTGAACCACGCATGTCTAGGATGAGCTCAGTTGAGATCCAAATCTGGGCTCTGTGACTGGCTAAACCAAGCCCAGCTCCCTCACCGTGTTGCTCTTGGCCTCGCTTCCTTCCCCACCGGGACCCCATCCTCATGGTTGGTCAGTCTTTCTAAAGTTCCCCTTGCCCCATATGGGCACCCTAGGCCTTATCAAGGCTTGTCCAAGAGCCTCAGATCTATTTGTTTCTATAGGTTTTGTTCTTGGTAGACCAGTACGTCTCAAATCAACCAGACCTCACACTCTCTGGTTATGGGGATTACAAAATATATTTGTTACAGTCAGGGGGTGTACCGACCTATGCATATAATTCTCTCGCAAAGCAGTACAGTGACCTAATTTTAAAAGTGAAAGCCAGGGGCGCCTGGGTGGCTCAGTCGGTTGAGCAGCCGACTTCGGCTCAGGTCATGATCTCACGGTCCGTGAGTTCAAGCCCCGCATCGGGCTCTGTGCTGAAAGCTCGGAGCCTGGAGCCTGTTTCAGATTCTGTGGCTCTCTGACCCTCCCCCGTTCATGCTCTGTCTCTCTCTGTCAAATAATGGTAAAAAAAAAAAATTTTTTTTTTTTAAAAGTGAAAGCCAGGATCATGAAATCATACATGAAGTTGGCAGATATGTGGACTTACAATGGATAAGCAGGTTTTTAAGAGAAAAGAGTAATTGTTTGAATATTGCCGCGTTTCCTTTGTTGACATTTGAAAAAAAAAAAAGGGCTAAATCAGGATCTTTGTAGAACTACCTACAATCATTGTGACCTGGAAAGCTACAGATGCACACCAGTACGGAGGTGTTGTCTCAGGGACTCAAACACTATGTTAGCAGCCCTGCCATGGGTGATGTGATTTTCCAAAATGGTGGAATAGGAGTTGTAAAGTTTCAGGCAAGGTAGGACAACTCACATGCAACTTTCCACATGGTGGCTGTACTTCAGGAAGCATGTATAATAAAATCATGGGTTTTTTTTAGGGGGGGGAGGGGGAGAGAGCATGTGAGAGAGAGAGAGAGAGAGAGAGAGAGCGAGCGCGCATGCATGAGCAAGGGAGGGGCAGAGAAAGAGGAAGAGAGAGAATCCCGAGCAGGCTCCATGCTGTCAGAGTAGAACCCAACATGGGGCTCGATCTCACGAACCGTGAAATCATGACCTGAGGCGAAATCAAGAGTCGGACACTCAACTGAATGAGCCACCCAGGTGCCCCTAATAAAACCATGTTTTCAAAGAAATCTACTCCTCGCATGAAAGTGACGTTGGGTTTTTGGCTCATGTGACCGTGACCTGATTTTTTACCTACATGAACATTCTGGCAAAATGTCAAAACGATGTGCAGGACCCAGGGGCAATTCTTCATTGTGAGGGGCTGCCCTTGCAATGTCTGTATGGTAAGATCGCTATCCTCATCATGTGACAAGCAAAATTTTTAAATTTGCAGGATGGCCCCTTGGAAGCTGAGCCGACCCACTGAGACCTGCTACCGTGGACTGAGGCCAGGAATGCACTTGGGCACAAGCCTCATTTTATTATCTGCGGCTGAGTATCTGTCAAGCTAAAAGGGACTTGAGCACCGACCAGGCCCAGCCTCCCCAGGTAGCATTGCATGTCAGAATCTCCAAGAACCTTTTCCAAATCCACATGTCAGGGCTTTCCTACAGACCCAGTGAATGGGGAGCGGGGCCCAGACATCTGTATTTTGAACACTCCCAGGTGAGAGGTGCCACGTTCTACCCATTCTCATCAGCTTCTATGCCTTGGTCCCACAGCTAGTGGAGACTGAACCTAGAATTCCTGACATTTCAGCTCCAGGAGCCCAGGCTCTGGAAATGTAATGAAATGTATGGGTTCTTGTGCCAGCTTTGGGACTCGGGCGCTGTGTGGCCTTGGATGAACCGTTTACCTTCTCTGGGTCTCACTGTTCTCACCTCAAAATTGGGTACAGAGGGGAAGCTACAGTCCAACTCTGGCAGTCTAGAATTCTCTCTACCTCACTTTGGTTCTACTTCCCAGAAGCCTCTGTGTGGAAACTCCACCTCTCTGTCCCCAGGTTCCCAGCAAGGGCCCTCCATCATGCAGTTACTTGGTTGGGGTGGGTGTCTGTCCCAGTCCTGAGCTCAGGGTGAGCAGTGTGGCCAGAATGCCCAAGGAGGCCAGGCCCCCTCCCCCTCTCCCAGCAGTGTTGACACAGATAGGGTGCAATGAAGAGGTCCAGGTAATACAAGTCCGGTGTAAACAGAGGACTAAGGGGGTAATTATGAGCGTTGGCCCATGGTTACTCCTTTCCTGGCCCCGCAGAACCAGGTCCCAGGCTGACTCACTCAGAGGAGCTCTGGATTTACACTGAGCTCAGGGTCATCGGAGGAGGGGAGAACGTCCATCCCCAACAGCAAATAAGAACCTTGGGGGTTAGAAACAGAGTTAAAGTAATTTTCTCTAGTAGGTTTAAAAAAAAAAAAACTTTATATTTATATTTGAGAGAGAGAGAGAGAGCACAAGCAGGGGCGGAGCAGAGAGGGAGGGAGACAGAGAATCCAAAGCAGGCTCCAGGTTCCAAGCTGTCGGCACAAAGTCCTACATGGGGCTCAAACTCACAAACCAAGAAATCCTGACCTGAGCCGAAGTCGGATGCTTACCGACTGAGCCACCCAAGCACCCCTCTCTAGCAGGCTTTTAAAAAACTAAGGGCAGGGGCGCCTGGGTGGCGCAGTCGGTTAAGCGTCCGACTTCAGCCAGGTCACGATCTCGCGGTCCGTGAGTTCGAGCCCCGTGTCAGGCTCTGGGCTGATGGCTCAGAGCCTGGCCCTGTTTCCGATTCTGTGTCTCCCTCTCTCTCTGCCCCTCCCCCATTCATGCTCTGTCTCTCTCTGTCCCAAAAATAAATAAACGTTGAAAAAAAAATTAAAAAAAAAAAAAAACAAAAACTAAGGGCAGTCATTCTCCATGCCCAGGGGGGTTGGCCTGGCTGAGGGATCAAGGAGAGCTTGAGCTGAGTGCACAGGATGAACGGGAGTTAACCAGACAGAGAGGAAGAGACAGAGTGTTCTGGCCGAGGACACTGTATGTGCCAAGGCCCAGTGGCAGGGACAAAAAGGCCGGTGTGGCCAGAGAGACAAGAGAAAGAGGGAGGAGAGGGAGAGGCCGGGGTGCAGGTCAGTAGGGACAGTTGTGTAGGGCAAGTGCACAGCCGCACCTTCAGGGACCCAAGCAGGTGAAGTGACTGCCTCTGGCTCATTCATTCACTCATTT